CCAGCCAAATCTGAGATAATCACGATTTAAATAAATTTAAACACCCCCGCACAGGGACAATAGGACCAATAATATGGGCAGGGGGTCGAAGGAGAGAATGATCTGTCCCGTTCTGCATATTTCTAGACAAAGCATTTTCGTATCCGTTCCTACGGAACGCAAAGCAAAGATTCGGTGACACGGAGGTATAGCTCATTGATAGAGCATTCGATTGCAGATCGAGTGGTCCCCGGTTCAAATCCGGGAGTTTACTTCTTCAGGGAAGTGAAGAGAAAATTTCTTTTGAGGATTTTGAAGGCGGGAATGTTCTGTCCCATTCTGTATATTTCTAGACAAAGCATTTTCGTATACGTTCCTACGGAACACAAAGCAAAGGTTGGCTGACGCGGGTGTATAGCTCAGTGGTAGAGCATTCGGCTGCAGTTCGAGAGGTTTCCGGTTCAAACCCGGGTGTCCCCTTCTTCAGGGAAGTGAAGAGAAATATTTTTCTGAGAATTTCGAAGGCGGGAGTGATTTGTCCCGTTCTGTATATTTCTAGACAAAGGATTTTCGCATCCGTGATGGTGTGCATCACATCCGTGACGGGGTGCGCGCGCATTGTAAAAATTTACCCTCAAACTATTTCTCTAACGCCCCAAAAGAAGTATAACTTCAAAAATCTCCATTATCGTTCAACAAATGACGAAGCGATGCTCTACATTTTCTCAGCTGTATTACTTTGTGATGTATTTACTAGAGCGCAAAATATCACAAAAAAATATACTTGTTACATCAAACATAAAACTATTGTGCCTATCGCTGTTACGAATGCAGATCAATCTTTATTACAGAGTTATCTTCACCTAAACAATTGTGAAAAAGTGTTTGAGAGAGAGAACGGAAAGCATTGGAACTCAAAAGAATCGTTCAATTTTACTATTTGGAAACACTGATAAAAAATATCAGGACCGTCCAAAACAACAATTGATATAGGTATAAATATGAGGCAACAATGACGTTTGATGAGGGAATAGATGATCGCTTAGATATTACGAAAAATATGCGTTTTAATCTAGGAAAAATCGGGGACTATTTATCTATATATGTATATACAATTTCTTTTTTTCATGTTACCGATGCGTGAATAAAGGCAGTAGAAATCGTCTAAATTTTCAATATAAGAGGATTGTAAAGCTCTGAGAAGGAGAAAAAAAGTCATACATGAGAATTTTATAGAAACAGGAAACGCGCGCGCGCAACAAATGAAATGGGTACATTTTATAAGTTTAAAAAGAATTCCTTTTAACTTAAACAATTAAAACTTAATCTTTATACCTGATTTTGTCAGTTTCTAACTCTTTTCCACTTTATTGTAAGATTGAAAAAAGTTTCAGCTGCAAATCTATGATATGTGTAATATATATATATATATATATATATATAATAGTAGTTAAATGCCCACTAGTCTCATTACTTTTTACAGTAATAACTCACAGTTCTGAATGTTCTTTACAATATTTAACAATTAAAATAAATCTATAAACATTTTGCATTAAAACTAACTTATATGTTTAGCAGATATTCGGTACATAAAAAAAACTCTAAGAATTCTACAAAAATAAAAAAAATTGCAATTTCAAAAACTGTAGTGCTTTATATAAAATTAAACATGGAAATATTTTTGCTTAATACCATAAGAAGAGTTCTAAATTAAAGAAAAATATTATAATCGCGGATGGAAAAAAACTTAATTGAACAGTAGAAGAAATATAACTGAAATGCAGAAAAGAAGGCGCATTTTTGTTTCAAAAGTTCAATTTCTTAATAATTTGTAAGATTTGGAAAATAGTTTTCCTTTAATCGTACTAATATTCTTAAAATTCTGCACGGCATTTGAATCTCTCTCTCTCACACACATACACATCTGTGTTGTTGTTGGTGTGTAGTGTTGAGGATTTGCTTATTTAGTCGAACTTTTCCAAAAGTATTAAATGAAACTAGGGCTACCAAACAAATGCCAACTAGACTCATGTCCAAAATTAAGGTCTCAAACTCAAATTATAGGAAAACTGATGAACTATTCACTGTGTTGCCCAGAAATTTGGTACAGAGACGTATTATAGTGTGAGAAAGAGAGAATATAGAAACATAACCATATGAAAAAGATTTTAATTTTGAATTAAGATACAGGGTATATCAAAAAGTGTGAAATCATGAAACAGAGAGAAAACATTTAACTCAATGAATGTCTAATTTGAAGTGTGACCACCGTGCACCGGTATACAAGCTTCATAACGAGCTGTCATATGAGGGGATCAATAAATATTTGTGGCAACAAAGCCCATTCTTCTAAAAGCACGACTTTTGACTCCTGGGAGTTCCCGAGAGAGAGTTATGCTGAAAAATGGCTTTTCCTAGACCATCCCAGATATGTTCAATAGGGTTTAGATCCAGAGACATCAAGGAAACATATGGCGAATATCCCTCCCTAATGAAATTCATCAACATTATGAGTTCTGTGTGGCAGCTCATTTTCGTTCATAAAAATATAATCCGAGCCCATAGCACCCAGAAAAAACTCATATAGGCTTCTAGGATCTCATCCATATAGCGCTATGAGTCGCATCGAAAACGTACAAAGGTATACGACTGCCCAACATTATGCCGCCACACATAAGGATTTTTTGCCACGAAATCTGTCGATTTTTTTATGCAAGAGGGATAAAAGCGAGCTCCACTTTCTGTCCAGATTAAGACTCGACAAGAATTACTTTGTCTGCTACATTTCAACTAATCACTGAAAAGAACACGCCCACAATATTGTGGTGTCCACGACTGATTTTTTCAGCTCCACAATAACCGGTCTTTCCTATAGGATGCAGTCAAAGGTACACACAAGACTGGACACTGGGCGTAAAGGACAGTCTTTGCAAGACGGCTGTAGAGCGTTTTCCTGAACATTTTTTTTTCAGACACAGCAACAAGGTCACGAGCAAGCTGAGGAGTCTGTTCATCTATGTTGTCGTACGCTTAAAGCCAAGTAGCGATCCTGTGCAGATGTTGATGCTCTGTGGCGACCTTAGCTGACCTTCCTGGTGACAGTGCCACTTGTTTGGAATTGATTTCACCGCCGGGGGACCACTTTCAGGCCACTTGTAACGATCGAGCCACCTCCGTTTGAGACTGGCCAGCTTCAAGCCTAAAAACGGCTTTCCATCTTAAAAAAATCATCTAAACGGTTATGAGAAGTCATCCTCGCTGCTAACAGGCTAACTTGTTTGTTTTAATGGAATATTCACAAAACTGCAGGGAAAAATCTTATATGCTTAAACGGTCTCAATGCAGTAATTCTGTAAAGACTTACGCTAAACAACATCTTTTCCAAAACTAAAGACTAATATTCTACTACGCGTTCTTCAAAAAATATAAAATATAAATTCTAAAAGTTTTCTTTAGGCAATTTAAAATTATAATGAAAAACATGTTTGTGTGACCTTAATTTTTTGGACATGAGTATATGTTGGAAATAATGCTTCCAAAAAAAAAATGGAAATTTTGGGTGTCCGTTGTGGAAGAGTGTACAGGCTATGCTTTCAGAGGAAAAGGCTTTGTAAGGCGTGTTCATTTCCGCGTTTAGTTCGTTTGCTCACTTCGATAAGTTTGAAGTTCTCGGGAACTTCATACAGCTAGAAGAATCCAAGTTTCAAAGGTTACTGTTTTCAAAAGACTACATCAGAGAGATATGTTAGCAAAAAGACCTGCTGTTTGCATACCGCTCACTTATGCACACAGAAGAATTCAATTAGCAAGGTACAGAGAACCTCAATATTGAGGCAGGGAGTTAGCGGGAGAGACCGTTCTGTTCACTGAAGAGTCCAGATACAATCTAATGATTGATTCT